GCCCCCCTTATGTTCACTAAATAATGTACATATTGTTCAGCCGCACCGTGTGTGCCGCTTGGCCTCGCTAACTGTTGTAATATAAACTATGATCCTCTATCATGAATAAAGCGGTTGTTTTTCTGTACCAAGTTGTTGTGTGTTGCCAGAAGACAAGGTCTCTGGGTTGGCAATGCAAGGTAAACCGGTCGCTCTGAGCCGGGGTGCCACAGCCATAAGCATGCAGCTGATTTATTCAAGACATGACATGACTTGTGTATCACTATTTTTGAGATGTGATGATATTTGTGTTGGATGATGATAATGGTATGACGAGACTACTGTATGCGTATGATATGATGATAATAATGTATGTTTATTATGATGTGATGAAACTACTATATAGAGCATGCACAAATACAACACAAATACGTAGAGGGGATTTTTTTTGTGAAAGCAGGAATATTAGTAGTAGTGCTGATAGGAGTCTAGCGGCAGCGCTGGTTTAGCAGCAGCGTTTGTTGTGGTGCGGCGCTACAGATAGTTAGTACTAGTGCTAGTAGAAGCAACGCTACAGCTAACCATACTTACATGTAGCGTTGGTTGAAGCAGTGCTACTGCTACAACTTAGTTGTGTGCCTTTGTAATAGCGCTGCAGCCATCGCTACTGATATGGATATTTCCAGCGCTACTAGTAGGCTTTCTCTTATTAGTGGTAGGTCTATGATGAACTACTCACGCATCATCGGAGAGGCACCAATGAGGATGATGAACCCCTCCGTGATGGTGTCTAGATTGGATCTCGTAGTTCTGGAACTTGCGGCGGCTGGAATTGTTTTTCGTCGACTCCCCGAGGGTTTCTGAAATATTTGGGTATTTATAGAGCGAAGAGGCGGTGCGGGAGGTCACCGAGGAGAGCATAGCCCACCTGGGCACGCCCAGGTGTCTTGTGCTCACCTCAGGCCCCCTCTCTGATACTTCGTTGGCCCATCTTGTGTCTTCTGGTCAAAAAAATTCTCCAAAAAGTTTCACTGGGTTTGGACTCCGTTTGGTACCGATATTCTGTGAAGTAAAAAACAACAACTTACACTGGGCACTATGTCAATAGGTTAGTCCCAAAAATGATATAAAGTTGCTATAAAATGATTGTAAAACATCTAAGAATGATAATATAACAGCATGGAACAATCAAAAATTATAGATATGTTGGAGACGTATCACATAGCATTGATACGTCGTGATACGTCTCCAACATATCTATAATTTTTTTATTGTTCCATGCTATTATAGTATCAATCTTGGATGTTTTATATACATATACATGCAACTTTATATCATTTGTTGGGACTAACCTACTAACTTAGTGCCCAATGCCAGTTGTTGTTTTTTGCTTGTTTTTTACTTTGAAAAATATCAATACCAAACGAAGTCCAAATGCCACGAAACTTTTTGGAGATCTTTTTCTGGCAATAAGAGACCCTGGAAGCTTCGAGAGGGGACGAGAACACGAAGGAGTGGACCACTAGGCACCAAGGCGCACCTTGGTAAATAGTGGGGCCCATGAGCCTCTGTTTAACCTAACTACGCCTCTATAAATTCTCAATAATCAGGAAACCTATCAGGGAGTCCACGAAATACTTTTTCCGCCAGCGCAAGCCTCTGTTCTCGACAGATCCCCTCTGTCGGAGGGGGAATCAATCACAGAGGGGTTCTTTATCATTTTTGCTACCCCTTCGATGATGCGTGAGTAATTTACCACAGACATGTGGGTCCATAGTTAGTAGCTAGATGGTTTCTTCTCTCTTTTTGATCTTCAACATAATGTTCTCATTGGTGTTCTTGGACATTTATTTGATGTAATGACTTTTTGCGGTGTGTTTGTTTATGATCAGATTTATCCATGAATATTATTTGAGTTTTCTCTGAACACTTTTATGCATGATTAATATAGCTTGGTATTTCTTCTCCGATTTATTGGTTTGGTTTGGCCAATTAGATTGATTTATCTTTCCATGTGGGAAGAGGTGCTTTGTAATGGGTTCGATCTTACGGTGCTCAATCCCAGTGATAGAAAGGGATATGACTCGTATGTATCGTTGCTATTAAGGGTAAAAATATGGGGTTTATTCATACATGAGTTTATCTTCTCTACATCATGGAATCATGCTTAAGGCATTACTCCTTTTCTCATGAACTTAATTCTTAGATGCATGCTGGATAGCGGTCGATGTGTGGAGTAATAGTAGTAAATGCAGAATCATTTCGGTCTACTAATCTTGGACGTGATGCCTATGTATGATCATTGCCTTGGATATCGTCATAATTATTCGCTTTTCTGTCAAATGCCCAACAGTAATGTGTTTACCCATCGTATGCTATTTTCTCGAGAGAAGCCTCTAGTGAAAACTATGCCCCCCGGGTCTATCTTTTATCATATATTAAACTAAAACTACTTTGTTGTATTTTTTATTTTTTATTTTTGTCCCATCTATCTATCAAAACTATACAATTAAATCTTGCTCGTAACCATTGAGGGATTGACAACCCCTCTACGCATTGGGTTGCAAGTATTTGTTGTTTATGTGCAAGTGGTGTTTACATAGTGTTGCTTGGTTATCCTACTGGATTAATAACCTTGGTTTCATAACTGAGGGAAATACTTATCTCTAATGTACTGCATCATTATCTACTCTTCGAGCAAATCCCAATGCAGCTCACAAGTAGCACGCACCCTGTTGTGGTTGAGAACTCGATGACCGTTGATCGATCCCTTGAAATTGAGAACACGCTTTTCCGCATGCTACGTGTCTGCAAGGACTCCCTACATCATCGTCATCTCATTCATGTAGTCCTCCTCGTCGGACGAGCCTTTGGACGACTAAACATAGTGCACGTATATGTACTTCATATCCAAATCCATTGCTTCAAAGAAGAAGGGACAAAAAAAATTAGCACCAACATTACACTGAATAGTTGTCGGTCATGGTGAGTAATGTAGAAGTGGATGATACCTGTGTGGCCGTCAGAGGAGAGGTGTGGAGCATGGCGGAGGAGAAGCGACGTGCTACCTTGTGTGTATCGTTGGAGGTGATGGATCCATCGAGTTTTGGCAGGGGTGTGGCGGGGCGGCCGGGGTGCTGGAGCGACGGTGATAGCAAGAGAAATATGAAAGTAGAGCAAATGGGAGAATGGAGGCGTGTGATCCGGGAGGGGTTTTGCGCCAAATGGGGGTGTCAGAGTCCTACGTGGCTTCTGTCTGGACTCCCGCAAAGTCCCTCCCAGTTGTCTCGGATTTGCGGGAAAAAGGTTCGTCTCGGGACCGGTCGACGAACCGATATTGGCCCGCATTGGATGACAAAACACTCCCGGACTGCGCAGAACGAACGTAGGCGGACGATTTGAATTTCCGCTTTGGAAATGCCTCAATAGGTAGAAACACTTCAGGGTTTTGAGTAGCAAAACCCATGCATAACAAATTTTCTAGATGAAAAATATACCGAATAATATCATCTCGACTACTAGCATCATGACCAATTGATATATCAACAACAGAGGCATAACAATGGATAATCTCTATAAATTTTTAACCACGACAAGACAGATATTTAGCTAGTCCAAGTAAAACCTGGGTACTATATATACTCCGGTTGGAACAAGCCAACAAAGAAAATCAAAAGGCAATTGAGTACAAAGATGGCGAGGAACCACGCATGTGCTCACTGCATTATTAGCATGTTACCCTACGTACGTGCATGCATATTGCGGACCACCTCATCAATTGGTAGTTCGTTTATACGTACACTCACACCGACACATAGAGTTATACTTACAAGATTGCTCAATAGATGTAACAGTAACATCTTATATTATGGACGAAGGGTTCAATTTATGCAAGATTTCTTACACAATACATCTTCGTGACACACAAGGTTACACGTATATCTTCGCTCCTGCCCTCATGCGAACTCTCATCTAGGGTTTCACTGCCTCTCGCCATCGCCGCTGCCAGCCCGCCTCGTCTCCAATGGTCCTTGGACCATGGAGGCATGGTGGATCCCGGCCCTTGCCGGCAGGAGGGCTCTGTTTTTAAGTGCTTTTTAGAGTTTTGTTAGGGTTTATGCCACGCTCGAGAAGACGAGGCGGTGGCGGCTTCTTCAAGATGGAATACAGTCCTCCTCGCCTAGCCCCTATCCTGGTGATGTTTCAAGCGTCGTTGGAAGGCGTGTCAAGGCTTGTCTCCGACGGATCTCGTGGGATCCGGTCGGCATTTGTCTTCTGTGGATCCGACTAGATGCGGCCTTCATTTGTCTACTCTGTTTGTCTGCAGGTTGGATCCTTCCGATCCACGCGCTTCTCTTCATTGGATTCTGATGTGCTGGTCTTATGGGGCCTTAGCACGATGACTTCCCGCATGTCTACTACAACAATGTTTGTCCGGCTCTAACGTGGGAGGGGCGACGGCGACCGCGCGCCTTCTGCTCGCTCCAGTGTACTTCTAGTGTTCTTTGTACTACCTTGATAGTTGAGGAATAGATCGATAGTTTTCTCGAGAAAAAAAAAGTTGCACATATGCACCTACTCGTTCCATGAATCTCTTGCACCATACACATTGACTCACTGTGACTCGAGGCTGTGTTAAAAAAATAAACTTCAGGCTGGCTTCAACAGGAACGAGCCAACTTGGTACACAACAAAACTTCTTCGCCGAGCCGCAGGGGTAGGATCAATAGAAACAAGGAGATGTTCAGGACCATGATCTACTTGCACCTGTCGTGCCGTTCAATTAGTCCTCATATATCCTGTCAGATGATATACGGTACCGAGCTTAGGTGCGGATGCACAATAGATTAGACCAACATTGTCGAGAAGAGGAGTTCACCCTCATAGTGTCTGAAGAAGAGTTGGTAGTCAATAAAATTCACATGGCCTTCAAGAACCGAGAGAAAGGAACAATTTACATGGCTTCAATCAATAATTATAAGAAAAGGTGATAAACGTTAAAGTTGTCATCATGTCCCTGCCTAATTGGTGCCTTCTACTACAGGTAACTTATCCTTCTCGTTCTGGATAAGTTCCTCCAAATAAAGTTGATAGAAGTGTTCTGCCATGAGCCAAAGGATGGTTGTCAACTCACCGCCGGTGCTGAGCTTCTCGGCATGAGCCTTCCTGCTGCATTTGTTGCTTGCATAGACAAGAATATCCGTCCACACATCTAGGACAAGTTTCAAGGAATCAGCCGTTCCATCTTTCTCTTGCCTTAGCAGTTGCTTGGCAAGTCTAACTACATAGGACAGTCGAGGAGTATCATGGCTGAAGCCTTTGCTCGCACATAGGATTCTTGCAAGCTCCTCTCTGTCGGCGACCCTGGAACTAGAACCGGGGTCATCGTGCAGGCGGAAGAGATTCTTGAGCTTAGCACAAAGGTTCATGTGTTGGCGCCTATGCGTCGATCGTCTAGTCTTGACTAGATTTTCGCAGGTTTGTTGATATAACCTGTTCTGGGAGAGGCCTGGTAGCATGTCGGGTGTCGCCACAAGGAGGAACATCATGTAGTTGGATATCACCTTGATCGCATCGACATCAAGTGATGCATCTTCGTCCTTGGCCCGCTGGCTCTTGGCGAGAAAAACATCACTGCCGATGTGCCAGATGATGATGCACTCCTGGAACTCAACACCGAGTGAGTCTTTGAGTATGCCATGGAAGAGTTTCCTGAGAACCAGTGGTTCCTCGCCCCACCTGTTCCTGAGCATGCCCAGTGAGTTCACAACCCCTTTCTTGTACACTCTTTTCATGTGATCGGATATGCAATCCTTCACATGTACGGGCATCTCAATGGCCCATGAGTAATGCTCCCTGTTCCACCACTCATTGAGTCCCAGTCCTACCATCCTGGCCAACCTGCCGAGCAGAGGCCTCGTGAATGCACCGTCGGAGCGGGTGCAATAGTGCAGCATGTTGAACTGCCCCATGGTACGTGACCACCTTCTTGACTTGTACCGGCTTCCTCCTCCTAGCCTCACAAGATGGTGAAGATATGCGACCAAACGCCTAAGCCGGTCCCACCTTTCATTGCACAGAGCCGCGGTCCGAAGCCAGCGCCATCTCGTGGTACTCAGGAAGGCGAATGTCCAGGAGGAGCCTAGCGCGTTGAGCAGCGCCGTCGTCTCCATGAACAAGGCACCACCGTACAAGACGTAGGTGATGACGACGTCGACCCCGCGGTGGGCGACGTCCTTGCTAATGAGCCTAAACAGAAGCAGCGAGGCAGCAATGGCGAGCGGGGAGACGAGACGTACCGAGTAGCCGAACCAGGTGTGGATGACGGCTGCCTTGGTGTACAGCATGTCGTACATTAGGGAGAGCTCGGTCTCCATCAATGGCCAGAACTCCACCACGTCCACCATCTTGGCGGTGTCTGAGGCGTCTTCGATCACCGGACAGTCAACTATGGCACGCTTGCAGATGTGGAAGAGCGAGTGAGCCCGTCGCACAAGGGACTCCTCGTCCAACACTCCACCCTTGAGCACGTGATCCTGGGGGTGAAAGTGCCCGTGCGTGGCAGGTGGTTGCTTCTTGACGGCGCCTCGGATGCTGTCCAGGTTGCCGAGCATGAGCGCCCACGTCTTCTCACCGTACTTGACCGCACCGACGGCCAACATCAGAACGGAGGCGAGCTGGAGCAGCGGCCCCCTTCCGGAGACATGCTCGTAGAGGACGTACACGGCCGCCAGCACCTGAAGCACCACGTGTAGCAGGTGGCGCTTCCAGAGCTTGTTGTCCTCCAGGGAGTAGGCGGTGATGTTGTCCGGGCCTCCGAGGTGCAGCAGGAGGAACGGCGCCCAGAACGCGACGATGGGGTGCTCCCGCCCCGCGCCCTTGAGGGAGAGGTGACCGAGGGCGTAGGTCGCCGTGTAGTCGCCCAGCTGGTACGCCAGCCACAGCAAGAACCAGAGCACGGGGTGCGCTCCACGCCTGCGGATGCCGGCGAGGAGGAAGAGGGCGAGCTGGAGGCCGAGGCTGAGGAGCACCAGGATCTGGATGGACCAATTGTTCCAGAGATCCTGCGCCCGAGCTCCCATTTGGACTCTCCTGTTCTGTTCCGGCAAGGAACTATGCTACACGCATGTACAGTGTCGCTAAGCTAAACTACGTCCGCTCCACGAAAATTGCGAAATGGAGTATACAGACCGGCATCCCGAACCAGTCTGGTCTCCGGCCAATGCACTTCTATAGCGGCGCCACTATCTAGCAGAGTGCTCCAGACAACTTGCTTCCTGCCGTCAGTACCTAGCTGAGTACTCCAGACTTACGGTTCTACATCTTCTTATGCTTAATATAAGATCTCCAATACTCCGATTTGATCTTCGTACGTGGATCCCACCCACGTGGGTTGCGCGCTCTCCCTCTCTCTCCACTCAACATAGTACTACACGCCAAATGATAATTGCATGCATGGCTCTTCCATTCTTTCTCCTCTTTCCACGATAGAAATGCATGCCTTTTCTTTCTTTTAGAAAATTTAGATGACACATTCTTTTAGACAAACTTGCATTTTTTAGTATATTTCATGAATTCATGAAAATAAGACCTTTAAAACAAGGCCAATACTGGATATACATTATAAAATACTTTAAATTTCACAGTCATCTTTCAGTCAAGTGAAATACTATATGGTAAATATTATATTTTCTGAAGTTCAGTGAAATAATGAAAACTACTAGAGTGACCTGCGCAATGGAATGCCTATATTGTGGCGGTAATGGTGCCTATGTTGAACCAACCCACAATCTCCGCGGCTACTACGGGTTGGTTCAGTGAATCTATCTGGCGTTCTCTTAAGAAATAGCTTTGCTCTTGAAATCTTGAAGTCTAGTAATCCTCGAGCCTCTAGATAGACGAGCAAGGTTGGCTCGAGAGTCATCTTTAAATTTCCGGATTGTGTTGTCTTGCGCGGACATAGTAGGCCCCGAAACTCTAGAGGGTCTGGCCAGACTGGACCGATGATCTTTATCCTTAGGAGTTGTCATTTTAACTTCCAAAACGGCAATGCAGTAGCCCTCGAGACTCTGATTGACCTGAACAGGCCGACCAGAGGATCTGTCAGTTTTAGGAGCTGTTTTGCACTTTCCTTTAAACGATGATGCAGTAGCCCCGACCCTGAAGCTGGCATGACAAGATCGCTTGAGGATCAAATATTAACTAAGGAGCAATTCTGCCTTCTCATTTTGAATAAAAGCATACACAGTAGCCCCTAAGATAAGGAGGCTGAAAAGTTTAGGTGCATGGTGCTGGAATCAGAGCAGCGGGCGGAAACACTGCGGAACGGTGCCGCCAAGTAGTAGAGGCATGGAGTTGACCAGGAGGTTATCTAGAAACTACCGAAGAAGAATGTCGAGTTGGTCAGGGCCATCAAGTACGCCGAGAATATCGCACAGGCCAAGACTAATGAGCTTGAAGACAAATTGTGGGCCCTGAAGGGCAAGCATGATGAGTTCGAGGCAAAAGTGACTAGGTTGGAGGGCAATGTGGCCCAAGCCAACTCTGAAGGTCGGTTGGCATGGGAGGAGGTGACTAGAGGAACTAGCCAGAAAGCCCGGAAGGGAAATATGGAGCATAACGTACCTAGTTCCTGGCCCTCGCTCTGGAGGTAAAACCCTACTTCTGCTGGTGTTGTATTGGTTGGATGTTGTGTACAGAGTACAAGGATGATATCTAGGATCGTAAGTATACTGAAGTGTAATGACTAAGGTGCCTATCGACTAGCCAACCCTGGATTATAAAGGATGCAAAGGGCCTAGGGCTATAGATTCCTAGTCGGTTTGAGTGTCCTCCTCGCATCCGATATCCTTGTCTTGAACACCAAGTTGACAATGTCTTCCTTCTAGAGGGTTCCCAGGTTGGTTGTTGGAACTGGCCAAGTAGTGGCCTAGGGGGCCTCAGGACAACGTGATGGCCCGACTTCCGGCGTCCCGAAGTACCCCTAGCACGGGGACGTCATCATGCGTAGTGAGGTTTTTCTATTTTACATGAATTTGAATAGGAATTGAATATGGCCTTAAAATAATACAATTTCAATTCAAAAATTCCAAAAAGACCCAAAAATAGTAGGGCTAATATAGATCTTTTAGGGAAAAAAATCCAACCCAATGCGGGTTTGGAAAATCATTTTATGCCACAGAATCTAATATGGGCATTTAAATAATTCCCTAACTTTGGGTTTATAAAATATCCAAATTAATTCATGTAAACACAAAATGATGCGAGGATGTGCCTATGCTTGATGGTCAGTTGTGCCGGTGGCCACACAGCTTCCCCAATATCGATCCCTGGGATCGACATGGTTGTCTCACATGGAGTATTTTTTTCCCTTGCAAATACCTCACACGTCTACGGGCCACAAGGATGATGACGTACCCACCATTCATGGAGTCAGATGGCTTTCAAAGTTTCTCAAGACATTTGTATAAGCTGTAGCTCTTATTAGGCGCACATCAAGTGCGCGTGGTGGTGTGTGTGTTGTGCGCCTCTTTACCGTCTAGAACTTGTATCCATGTTTATTTTGCGAAGAACTCGTATCCATGTAACCAGGCTAAAAAAAACACCAAATGGTGCATTAGTTATGTGATGTGCATAAATGGCATGTTTTAACATCTAAATTCAATAAATTAGAATGTTATAATGTCAGTATTAATCCTACAAGCGTGGTCGACTAGACACTTGTGAAGATGCCCACAATTTTGTTCATCAGGGATATTCCACACGAAGTAAGCCGCCGCCGTTGCAATTTTCCTTTGGGCAGCGGCTTGTTAAGGATGCTAAGGCTTCCACCATTCCCCATCAGGGCTCAAAGGGGCTTGTTAAGGATGCTCGGGTTTGCGGAAATAAATGCCAGACCCTATTCAGCACTTAAGGCGTCGGTTACAACCTTAATTGTACCCACGCCTGATCCTGGCTGTCACAACGGACTGGCCCAAAACGTGCATCTTGGCCAGTACTACCTGTCATCTGGCTGATTTTCGATCAGTCGCCTAATCAGCCGTTCGATCCTACCAGATCGGACGTCTCTAGTTGTTAGACAGCGACGTGATGATTTCTTTTTTCTTCAAAAGGGGGACGTGATCATTTCTGAAACCCAGCGGTCCACCCAGCCTTCTTTTATTTACATGGCCCGCACACTTACCTTTTCAGCTTGTCATTTGAACGACTAGCTAGACTAATGTTTTATGTAGGCTGTTATGAATGGAAAACAAAGCATGAGCGTGCTACGCACGCACATGAGTTGTTTCCTCCCTAGCCATTGAATCCTGTGCGTGACAGCCGTTAGATTTGCATCCGTCGTTCAGCTTCGACACGCTGTTTGCAACATATGACCGACCCATGTCGTACTCAAGGGTTTGCAACATGATTCAAATTGCGCTTGTGTTGCAAATACTCTTCCGCCGTTCAGCCGCGTCCAATTGTTTGCAACATGACCCATATTAAGCTTGCGTTAAGTGCGACCCATTCTGGCTACATGACCCATGTCACACTCAGGGGTTTGCAGCATGATTCAAGTTGCGCTTGCATTGCAAATACTCCTCGGCCGTTCAGTTGCGTCCAATTGTTTGCAACAATGACCCATGTTGTGCCCGCATTGACTGCTACCCACCGTTTGCAACATGACCCATTTTGTGTTTAGAGATTTGCAACATGAGCCATGTTGCAAACACTCCTTGGCCATTCATATATGACCCATCGTTTGCAACATGACCCTTGTTGCACTCGGGTTGAAAACACTCCTTGGTTGCGACTCATTGTTTGCAGCATGACTCATGTTGTGCTCAGATATTTGCAGTATTAGAAAGAAGAAATGTAGTGGAAGGCTAGTTTTGTAGCATGGGCATGCTTCTCGCTTGACTATCACACGTCTCATGCCCGATAGCGACGACGGGCTTTCCAACAAAAAGAAAGTATGTGGCGGCTTGCAGTGTCACACACTCCGCTCACAGCGGAGGTGGTCGACCTTGCAATATGGAAAATGTTGTTGCCATCTATGACTTGCATGGCATTGCAAAAACATGGATATTTGATCATCCATTGCAACATGGATCATATTGCACTCAACTCCAGTTTGCATGACCTTGCAAAAGTACATGGGCCTTTAGTCGCCCATTGCAAGAAGGACCATGATGTGGTCACTCATTGCTACAAGGAATCGTAGCACTGGCAACACTCCCACAACATGGCTCACAACATTTGCTTGTAGCACGCCTCGAAGCAGGGCGTAACACGGGTCGGATGGCTCCTACATGCGTGTGAGGTCATGAGGCAGTGATGCGACACTGGACAGTGGTCTTTGCGACATCCGGCTGCTTCAATGGTTGCGGCGATGCTAAGAGGTGTGTTGCGACGGCCCCGACGATGGCGCGATGACATGCTTCAAAAGATCTGCAACGGCATCTCTGCTTCTTTAAGGATGTTGCGATGGCTTGCTTCGACCGTGACGGTGATGCTACGAGGTGAGTTGTGATGATCGCGACGTTAGCACAACGACATGCTCGTGGTGGGCTGCAACGATGCCGCAACGACATGCTTCGATGGCCGTGGTGATGCTACGAGGTGTGCTGCAACGGCCACAGTGATGGCGCGACGACATGCTTTGAATGTCCGTTGTGTGCTTCGACGGTCGTGACGATGTTGCGACGGTATGCTCCGATGGCCACGACGATGTTGTGACGGTGTGCTTCGAACATTGATGGCGATGATGCGTTGTCATGCTTCGACAACCGCGGCGATGTTACAATGGAGGCCCGACTACTTCTATGATGTTGCAAGGCAGTGTTGTGACGACTGACATGACTGTTCCGATGTTGATGTGACGGCGTGCAGCGATGTGGCCATGGCGGTCCGGCTGCTCCGATGATGTTGCGATGCCATGCTTCGATGGCGGCGGCGGCGGCGGGGATGTAAGGACGCTACGTCCGAAATAACCTTGACTCCATGTGCTTGCTAATACCAAATCAAAACCAACACCCGCGATCAACATCCAGAACTATTTGTACTAACTGACTAAAGGTCACGCCAACTGAAAAAGTTAAGC